TCTGTATTTCCACAGAGTCTCTAATGATTTAACCATGTTAATTCCTTACCATATTAACACTTCCTGGTGGTCTAATGTTTAGGATTCAGTGCTCACTCCTTACTGTATGAATTTGAGGTTTTTCTTTCCTTTTTTGTTATTATGACTGGTAGGGGGCTTATCAATTTTATTTATTCTTTCAAAGAACCAACTCTTTGATACATTAATTCTTTGTATTATTTCATAGTCTCTATTTCATTGATTTCTGCTCTGATCTTTATAATTTCCTCCCTTCTTTTGACTTTTAGCTTGAGTTGCTCTTCTTTTTCTAGATGTTTGAGGTGTAGCATCAGGTTGTTTATATGTGTTCATTCTGCTTTTCTGATGTGGGAATTCACTGCAATGAATTTTCCTCTGAGGACCACTTTCATTACATTTCATCCTTTCTGGTAAATTGTATTTGTATTTTAATTTACTTGTAGATGTTGTTTAAAATCTTCTTTAATTTCCTCTGTGACTCACAGATCGCTCAGTAGTGTATTATTCAATTTCTATATGTTTGTGGTTTTTTTGCAGTTTCTTTTGTAATTAATTTCTAGTTTCATGGAGCTATCATACAATAACATGCATGGGATAATTTCAATTCTATTGCATTTCCTTAAATATGTTGTGTGGACTAGTATATGGTCTATTTTAGAGAATGTCCCATGTACCGCAGAGAAGAATGTGTATTCTGATGTTGTTGAATGGAGCACTTTGTGTATGTCTATCAAGTCCATTTGTTCACAAGAGTGATTCAGTTCTGTTATTTCTTTGCTCATTTTCTGTCTGGTTGATCTGTTCCTTTGTGTCAATGTCATGTTAAGGTCTCCTGTTAAAATTGTATTATTGTTTATTTGATTTTTCATTTCTGTTAATACTTGCTTTGTACAATTGTGTGCTCTGGACTTTGGTGTATATATATTTAAGATTGTTATCTCTTCCTCTTGAAGTTTTCCCCTAACAAGTATGTAGTGACCTTTTTTATCTCTTCTGATCATTATTGGTTTAAAGTTCACATTGTCTGCAAACAGAATGGCTGCTCCTGATTTTTTTGGATTCCTGTTCCATGAAGTATTGTTTTCCATCCTTTGACTTTCAGTCTGTGTGTATCCTTTTTGGTTAGATGGGTTCCTTGTAGACAGCATAAAATTGGATTTTTGTTTCTTGATCCATTCTGTCAGTCTGTTTCTTTTCATTGGTGAATTGAGACCATTTACATTAATGGTTATCACTATTATATATTGGCATATTGTTGACATGCTGTCTTTCTGCTGTTGCATCTTTATCTTTCTGTTCTGTTTAATGGTCTGCTTTGCTTAGTGTTTTTTTCCTAAGTGTATCTAAATTGCCTTTCAGTATTCTTTGCAGGGTTGGCTTGGTGATCATGAAGTTCTTCAGCTGTTCTTTGTCATGGAAGTATCTTATTTCACCATAAATTTTGAAGGACAGTTTTTCAGGGTACATCAGTCTAGGTTGGAAATCATTTTCCTTTAGGATCTGGAATACTTCACTCCATGTTCTTCTTGACTTTATTGTTTGTGCTGTGAAGTCTGCTGTGATTCTGATATGTTTTACTGTATAAATGATATGTCTTTTTCTCTTTAATATTCTTTTCTTATGTTGGATTTCTGGGATGGTGATTATTATATGCCTGTGTGTAGTTTTATTTTGGTTATGGCTATTTTAACTTCTGTATGCTTCACTGATCCTGATATCAGTTTCCAATCTCATTTTTGGGAAATTTTCAGCTATTGCTTCTGTAAATAGTCTCTTGGCATAATTTTTGTTGTCACCTTCTTTTTTGTTTACCTCTATCAATCTTATGTTGCTTTTCTTTGAATCATCCTGCACTTGTTGAATTCTTGTTTCCTGATTCCTTGTTATTTTTTTTAAATGTTTCCTTACTTTTCCTTTCCTTTCCTTTCCTTTCCTTTCCTTTCCTTTCCTTTCCTTTCATTTCCTTTCATTTCCTTTCCAGTTCTACTTGCAATCTTTTCTTCAAGGTCTAAAATTCTATCTTCACTTTCATTGCAGTAGTTTTGCCAACTATCAATGGAAATTTTGATATCCTGCATATCTCTTTGAATCTGCTTCATGCTTTCTTTTGTTTCTTATATTATTCATGAAAATTGTCCATCTTTTTGCATTGTTCTCTAATTTTAACTACATCTTTTTTAGATGTATTCAGCATTTCTTTCATTATATTTATTGTTTCTTCTTTTAATTGGGAGATTATTCCTGATCTGAGTTCTTTTATAGCTTCCTGGAATTGTTTACTTCAGTTGTTATCGTTTAAGGAATTTCAGTTGTATGACTTACATTTTCTCCTATGTCCATGTCTGTTAGGCTTAATTGGGATGGCAGGAGGTTTGAGATTTTATTTTTCTCTTTCATTTTGTTATATTCCCATATTTCTGGGTTTTGAGTGATGTTCCAAAGCTTTCCCGTTTGCTGGGAGTCACCTAAAGCACCCTCAGCTCCTGAGGTGGCATGTAGCTTGCTGTGTATGTCCCAGTTATGCCTGTGGGGACCTCCTGTGATTTGGGATGCTGGGTGGTGTCTTATCAGCTGGGAGTGATGTTTCAAAGCTTCTCTTTTGTCCTGGGAATCTCTTTGTGCCTCTTCAACTTCTTGGGCAGAATGAAGGACACAATATGGCCCAGTTAGGCCCATAGGGACCTTCCATGCACTGTTTGGTGATGTGGGATGCTGGATAGTATCCTAGTTATTATATTTTTATTTAGTCTGTTAGTATTTTCAAATTCCCTGTTACCTAGTTACTATATTCATATTACATAATGATCTTTACCCTAATTTGATCTATGTTAACAATTATGTATGTTATTAGCCCTCTATTAAAAACAAGAAAATTGTGATACAAGAGAAACTAATAATTCTCTTAAATTTATGGTAGTTCCAACTAGTAATAACAGGTAAGTTTGCTTAAAAAATAATATAAATACAGCCACAATAAGTAACATTAAGGCAACTTTCAGAAGAATAAAGTTTTATCTCTATTCTATCACAGTTCTTGGAGTATGTAAATAAAAATAAATTTGATTTGTGATGTATAACTCAGAGTCAAAAGAGAAATTATCCAAATATATATATATATATATATATATATATATATATATATAACAAGAAGCTTTGATAATTACTTAAACTGAGTGCTTTGTACTGAGTCCAAAAGAAAATGCTGATAAAAGATAATAAGTTTCTAGTCTATGGATTCATACAGTCAACCAACAGTTTAAAGATGATATTCTCAATTTGCAACTCACTCTACTCCTTCCAGAAGAGAGAATCAAAACATATCTATAGAACCAGGCCGCATCAGGGGTTGATCCCTGCCTGGGAAGTGGCACCCTGCATGGCCTGTTGCCAGAGTGGGGGCAATCAGACCCAAGTTATCTCTATGAGTCAGTGCTATTTGTGGACTGTTGGGGTGGGGAGAGAAGCAAGCCTCACTAGGAGGTGATCTCCAACTGGAAACCAGCAATACACATGGGCCACTGCCAATATTGGGACAGCCAGATTCAAACATCTCTCTGTGAGTCAGTGTCATTCAGGGACTACAGAGGGAGAGAGAGAGAGAGAGAGAGAGAGAGAGAGAGAGAGAGAGAGAGACAGAGAGAGAGAGACAGAGAGACAGAGAGACAGAGAGACAGAGAGACAGAGAGACAGAGAGACAGAGACAGAACCAGACCTCACCAGTAGATGATCACAACCTGAAAGCCAGGGCCATGCACAGGCCATTGTCAGAATGGAGACTTTCAGACATAAGCCTTTCTCTATGAATCTCTGCCATTTGTTGACTGTGAGGGGAGATAACTAGGCCTGACCAGGAAGTGATCCCCACCTGGAAACCATGTATAGGTGTGGGCTGCTGCTGGAGTGGAGACAGTCAGACCCAAGCTTCTCCCCATGAGTCAGTGCTATTTATGGGCTTCAGGGTGATTGAACCAGGCTTTATCAGGAGGTGGCCCTGACCTGGAAACCAGCACTATGTATGGGTCACTGCTGGAGTGGGGACATTCAGACCCAAGCCTCTCTCTGTGACTCTGCACCATTTGCCAAATGTGGAGAATGAGAATAAGCCCTGACTAGGAAGCAATCCCCATTTGGAAATCATATAATTTTCATTGCTTTTTTGGGTTAACTTTTATTCTTTTTGTTTCATTTTTGTCAAATTTAATGACAAGAGCAGCTATTTAAAAGATAGCAAGACATATTATGATATCCATTTTGGACTTACTATTGGCTTGTTTGAAATCCTTTATTGTATTCATTGTTTTGTTTTTATTGTTTCTATTTTATTCTATTCAGTTTTATTTTTACTATGTCTAAAGCTATCTGCAGCTATTTTGAAGACAATAAAATGCATTTTTGTAACTATTGTTGATTTGGTAAGGTTTTGACATCCTGTATCACTTATAATGATTTATTTTGATTGGTTTTATTTATTTTCCCTGTTTTTAAACTCTTTAAAGTGAAAAAAATCATAGCTCTAGAAAAATATGGTAGCATTTGGTGTGGCTTATATCAAGATGCTTATTGTGGATGCTATCTCTGTTAATTAATGGCCATGAGACCATACACAAGTCACTTATCTTTCTTGAATGCCAGATTCCCAAGCAATAAGGACAATAAGAAAAACACCATCTTTCATGAGTTGTCACAAGAGTCAAGTTAATTAAAAATATGAAGGGCTTACTTTGCCTACAATACAGTAAGCACTCAGTAAATGTTAGTGTTCAGTGTATGGTTATTATTATTATTGACCAGTGAATATACAGATTAACAAAAACAAAGAAAAACTCCAACAATTTTCTGCTTCTTCGACTAGACTCTACTAGGGGAAAAATGTTTTATAAACAATGAAACCCTGCACACAACTATAAAAATAAAGATTAAGTACTCAATGTCCTTATTTGAGTCAATTCAAAATATGAAGAACTATTTGAAACCTTCTTTCACTATGTAGCACCTGAGATCACTGTCTTTCTCCACCAACTACTCATGGTACTTTTTACTTCGGCATTCCTTAGTGTGTAAACCAGAGGATTGATAAAAGGTGTCCCAATTGTGTAAAACACAGTTACTATCTTGTCCATAGAGAAGGTGGTGGCAGGGCGTGTATAAATAAATATACAAGGTACAAAGAACAGGACAACCACAGTGATGTGTGAGATGCAGGTGGAGAGGGCTTTTCTCCTCCCTTCAGCACTGTGGTTCCTGAGAGAATGCAGGATAACTGCATAAGAAAACATCAGCAGAATGAAGCTCACTAAACAAATGGCCCCACTATTGAACACCAACAGCAGGTTGACCACGTAAGTGTCTGCACAAGCAAGTTCCAACAGGGGTTCTAAGTCACAGAAAAAGTGATCAATCACATTGGGACCACAGAAAGGCAGGCTTAAGGCCAAAAATGTCTGAGTAGAAGAATGCAAACAGGATCCTACCCAGGCAACTGCCACCAACACTCCACAGACCCTACGGTTCATGATGGTCATGTAGTGCAGGGGCTTACAGATGGCCACATAGCGGTCTACAGCCATAAGGATCAAGATGAATATACCCAAAGACCCAAAAATATGGCCTGTAAAAACTTGGATTATGCACTCACTGAATGAAATTATGTTTTTCTTCAAAAGAGATTTCACAATAACTCTAGGGGCTATGGAAGTAGAGAGACAGGTGTCAGACAAGGATAAATAAAAAAGGAAGAAGTACATTGGACTCTCAAGTGCCCGACTGGTCTTGATGGCAGTAATAATCAGCAAATTACCACACAAAGTTCCCAGATAAAAAAGCAAAAAAATGATGCAAACTATTTTCTTTCTCACAGGATCTTGTGTCAACCCGAGAAGAATAAATTCAGTCACATTATTATTTAGATGCATGGTTTCATGTATGAGACTTGATGACTCAGAGAAGGGTTATCTGCAAAAAAGTAAATAAATTAATTTATGATGTCCTCTGATAAGTTATGGAACATTTTAGTCAAATTAAATATTTTCATTACCTTTTTTCTCTGTCTTTTAGTTTCACAAGCTTATATTCCTGAGGTTTACTGATTTCTTCTTTGTGTTATTATGAGCCTTGGATATGCTTGTGAATGTAATTTGTACCTTAGCACATTCCAATACAAACATTTTTAGCTCTGAGATATTAGAATTAATTTTGCCAATAAATATGAATTTGACGTTCAAAATTATAGCTTTATTGCAGTACTAAGTATGTTTCATATTCATAAAGTGAATTATGACTCAAGGTTTGAATATATAATTTTAAGTACTTAAGATATATTCGATAGTTTTCTTTCAAAATGTAAGTACGATAACCATCAAAACTCAAGTATATATTTATACAATATTATATATATATATATATACTTAGACAATGTTCCTGTTTCCCACCATCTCTTTTAAAAATGAGAATAGGACCAGATATATAGCTCAGTGGCACACTATCTGCTTTGCAAGTTTAAGGTTGTGAGTTCAATCTCTGGTATAAAAAATAAAGACAAACAAAAAAATTTTTGGCTAGGGATTTAGCTCAGTGGCATAAGTGCCTACTTGGCAAGTGCAAGGTCATGATTTGGATTCCTAGTACAAAAAAATGAGAGGAGATAGAAAGAAGAGGAAAAGGCGGATAAAGGTTCAAAATGCAGCAGCCTACAAGAAGACAGGCTACATTTACCCCGCCACCTGGTGGGCCTCAGCAGTTGGCAGGAAAATAGGCCACTTCTCCCAACAAACCCAGGATTTCAGCAGCCAGTAAGAGCTTAGACCACCACAGCTCTCCATTCACTCAACCTCAAAATCAGGGGAGAGAATGAACCACTTGTCTCACCAACTGTACAATGTCAGCAGCTAACAGAAACATTGGCCACAACTCTCTCCAACCTGGTCAACCTCAGTAGAAGGTAAGAGAATCAAATACACCCCCGTCCCACCCAGACAACCATAGCAGCTAATAAGAGTGTCACTCATGGATCTCTGCACCTCAGAAGCTGGAGGAAGTGTTGCCACAACTCTCTCACACTCAGATGACCTCAGCAGGACATAAGATAGTGAGAAATCCCTCCTACCCAGCCAGATGAATTCATCAATTGATGGCAACATCAGCAAGCCCTCCTTTCCACCCAGAAGACCTTGGCAGTCAGAGGAGAGAACAAATGAGTCATCTCTCTCATGTAGAGACCCTCAGGGGTTTGGCAGTATACTCAATGACCTCTCATCACTCCTGAAGAACATTAGAAGGACTGCAAGGATGCCATTTTGTGCTTCTTCCTTACAGAAGACCCTGGGTCACATGATGAGAGTGCTGGTGAGCCTCCTTAACTGGGGAGAAATCTGGCATAACTTTCAAGGCCTTCCAGTGACATGGGGCCTCAGCTGGGATTCACAAGATGGACAGACAGGTTTGTCAACCTGTAAAAGTCTGAAGTCAATGTAATTACACTAGCTAAGTGTTATTTCATTTCAATACTCCTAGGCTAGCTATCCTAGCAAGCGTAAAGGCCTAATCTAATTGGTCCCAGAGGAGGAATTCAGGTTATTGGCCCCTCCACTACACTGTAAGGCCGAGTAAATGGATGAACATCAGCCACATACCAGGATGCTAAAACACACATGACAAACTGTCAATACCAGCAGGACTGAAAACATCAGAATATTATCCAAGATGTGAAAATGATAAAATGAAAAAAACAAAATGCAATCTCAAATGCTCAACCCTTCTAGAACAAGTACAAAAGCCATCAACATGGAAGACTTTGACACTCACATACTTGAAATTTCTGGAAATGATAAGTGAAGCAAAGAAACAAATCCATGAGACTACAGAAGAAATCAGATCATAAATAATCTCTCAGGTAAAGAAATGACTATTTTAAAGAAGGAATTTCTCACCATAGCTTGTGAAGATTTATATTAAAAAAGAAAATACAGGAACATAGGCAAATGATGGAAACTCGAATGAATAATATAGGAAAGTAATATAACACATTTAAAAAGATGAATTTAAAAAATTCATTGAGGAATGACAGTTTGAATGAAACTGAACATAGACTTTCAGACCTTGAAGACAAAGTTGCAAATAGGAATAATAAAAGGAAAGTACTTTAAAAAACATCAAGGGACCATAAATAGCAATCCAACACCTCAAAGACAATGCAAAGAAATACAATATAAAACTGACAGGTATCAATGAAAATTCAAGAGTCAATGCAAATGACATTAATAAATCTATTTGCCAAAGCAATAGCAGAAAAATTTCCAAGCATGGGAAAAGAATTTTATATTAAGATAATTGAGGCATGTATAACTCCAAAGAGCCATAAAAATTTTACAGCTAGACATATAAGAATCAATATTTTAGAAATTCATCACAAACAAACAATATTAAAAGTTGTTAGATAAAAGAAACAGATCACCTATCAAGAAAGCCCATTAGAATCATGGCCCACTTCCCTACAGAAGCCTCTAGTCAAGATGAGATTGCAGTGAAGTGTCTGAAACACTGAAAGAAAAATCTTACAAACCAGAATGATCTACACTGAAACACTTTCATTCAGAATTAATTGAGAAATATGTTGCTTCCATGACAAAGAAAAACTAAAGTAATTCAAATCCAACAAACCAGGCTAGGAAAGAGTACTGAAAGATACTCTAGATAGAGACAAAAATAACCACAATTCCAAGAACAACATCAGAAAGAAACAACAGATAGGGCAAGCAATTAAACACAAATAAGAAGAAGCAAGGAACCAACAATTGGAAATTAACATGTCAAAGAAAAGACAATACATACCAGTTATCATCATCAATGTAAATGGCATAAATTCACCATTTAAAAGAAATAGATTGGGCCAGGGGCTGGGATTAGGCCTGCCTGCCTGTAACCTGACCTCTAGACTGGGCAGCCTGGGGTGAGTATACCCACACCATCAGGAGCCCCTGGGAGGGAGTTTAAGATCTTAGCTCTTACCAGCAAAGGAACTTTACAGCTTCCTGCCACACTGAACCACCTCAGCAGGGTGTGGACCAGCTTGCACCAACTTTCCTGTTTCCTGTTATGTTTGGCCAGCTCTGGGGAATTGGGTATCCCTGCACATGCCCTGAACTCTGGAGACTGGCAGGCCTGGGATTAGTGTTCCCACACCATCCGGAGCCCCTGGGAGGGAGATTAAGATCATTGCTCACAGCGGCCAGGGAATTTTGAGACATTCTGCCACACTGGACCTGCACAGCAGGGCTTGGCCCTGCCTGCCCCACCCCCAGTGACACTCTCTTAATCCAGGGAAGTGGGTGGCCAGAATCCCAGAAGCTGAGAGCATAGAAGAGGATTTCCAACAGGACCTGAGGAGGCCTTGGAATAGCACTTGAAACATGGAAATATAGGAAAATAACAAAATGAAAGACCAAAATACAATCTCAAGTCTCCAGCCAATCCCAAGGTACCTCAGGAGCTATGTACATAGTAGAAAACATATGCCATACACCAAAAAATGCATGAAATAATAGTAACTGAAATAAAGAAGCTACCATGGGAAGCTTTAAAGGAATTTAAACTAGACATAATCTCCCAGGTAAAAGAAGAAATGATAAAAGAAATGAAAGAGATGCTGACCATATCTAAAGAAGACACAGTTAAAAAATTGGAAGAACTAAGCAAAAAGATAGAATCCCTGGATGAACAATATAGGAAACAAACAGAATGCATGGAGCAGATGCAAAGAGACATACAGGAAATCAAAAATTCCATTGAAAGTTACAAAAAAGCTTCATGAAAGTGAAGATAGAATTTCAGACCTCACAGACAAGATTGCAGCTAGGGAACAGGAAAGAAAAGATCTTTTAAAAATAACAAGGAATCAGGAAATAACAATTCAACAGCTGCAAGATGATGCAAAGAAAAACAACTTAAAACTGATAGGGATAAATGAAAAAGAAGGGGTTAACATAAAGGATGTCAAGAGGACACTTAGAGAAGTAATGTCAGAAAATTTCCCAAACATGAGATTGGAAACTGACATCAGGATCAGTGAAGCATTTAGAAATCCAAATAGCCATAACCAAAATAAAACTATACCCACACATATAATAATCACCATCCCAGAAATCCAACATAAGAATAGAACATTGAAAGCTGTCAGAGAGAAAGGATAGATCACCTATCTAGATAAATATATCAGAATCACAGCAGATTTCTCAACATAAACAATAAATTCAAGAAGAGCATGGAGTGAAGTATATCAGATCTTAAGGAAAAAGATTTCCAACCTAGGCTGATGTACCCTGCAAAACTGTCCCTCAAAATTGATGGAGAAATAAGATACTTCCATGACAAAGAACAGCTGAAGAACTTTATGATCCCCAAGCCAACCCTGCAAAGAATACTGAAAGACAGTTTAGATACACTTAGGAAAAAAACACTAAGCAAAACAATTAAACAGAATTGAGACATAAAAAATGCAACATAAGAAAGATAATATATCAACAATAAACCGACACATAACAGTGATAACCATTAATGTAAATGGTCTCAATTCACCAATGAAAAGAAACAGACTGGCAGAATGGATCGAAAAACAACATCCAACATACGTTGTTTACAAGAAACCCATCTAACCAAAAAGGATACACATAAACTGAAAGTCAAAGGATGGAAAACAATACTTCATGCAACAGGAACGCCCCCAAAAAAGCATGAGTAGCTATTCTGTTTGCAGATAATGTGAACTTCAATCCAAGAATGATCAGAAGAGATAAACAAGGCCATTACATACTGGTTAGGGGAAAACTCCAAGAGGAAGATATAATAATCTTAAATATATATGCACCAAGTTCCAGAGTACCGTGTTATATAAAACAAGTATGAACCGAAATAAAAAACC